AATCGGGATGGGTGTATCGGAGACGGTGTGATTGGCACAGGACAGAGCAGAGTTTAGGGATGTTGTACATAGGGTTGCTATGAGTTGCAAGTGACTCAACGGCACATAACAATAGCAACAACATGTATATGTATGTATATATAAAAGACTGAAAACATTTCCCATATGGGCAGGAACTAGACAATGATGTCTTCTATAATTATTCCTCTTGTGTTGGAATTGAGTGGAAGTCCAAGCATAAGCAAGGAAGAAGATCAAGAATTTTTTTAATTAGTAGGACTATCTCTGCTTGTGGACGGAATGAGCCTAAATATAGAAAACCCAGAAGCTCAGCAAGATAATTATAAGAACTAGTTAGAGGATATAAATGGAAGGACACATGATTAATGTAGAAAAATCAATCCAGTTCCTCTACAGTAACAGAGTACTCTGAAAAGGAAATAAGAAAAGCAGTATCATTTACAGTTGCCACCTAAAAGATCAAATACTTAGGAACAAATGTAACTAGCGATACAAAAGAAAGTTTCGTCACAAAATACTACTACCATAAACAAAAGAAATAAATTGAAGACTATACCATGCTAGTGGATTGGGAGATTTAACATTATGAAAATGTCAATGCTACCAAAAGTGATATACAGACATAATGTAACCCCAGTCAAGATTTCATCATCATGTTTCAAAGAGATGGAAAAACTAATCACTAACTTCATGTTTTAAAATCAGGAAAGGTGTTCATCAGGGTCATGTGTGTCAGAGATGGTGAGGCTGACTACAATAGATAGGGCAAGGTTCAGAGCTATTGTTCATAGGGTCTCTGTGACTCATAGTCAACTCAGTGGTACCTAATAATAACACAACAGTGCTGAAGATGTTGATTGTGGTCCTAGTAAGATTAAATTGTTGACGGTGTCAGTCTTTTCTCCATCAATCGTGATGTTATCTTTCAGCCCAGAAGTGAAAATTTTTCTTGCTCTTGTGATAGAAGCCATGTAGAAGGCTGTAGTCTTCTGCAGCCAAGAGTGTCAAGTCCTCCTTTACGTTTGGCAAGCAAGGTTATTCATCAGGTTGTTGAAGAGTCTTCCTCTGATTCTTATGCCACATTCTTGTTGGTAGTTCCTTTGCATACATAAGCAGTTGGGAGAGGGAAGTTATATTTTACTTTTATTTATAGGTGCCATCCAGTTAACTGCAGCTCACAGCAATTCCCCATGAAGAACAGATTGGAACCTTGCCCTGTTCCTATGCCATCTGCATGTTCTTCGACATGCTTGATCCCATTGTTAAAGTCACTGTGTCAGTCTTTCTCATTGAAGGCCGTCCTCTCTTTGACTGACCCTCTACCTTTCCAGCATGATGTGTTTTTTTAAGGACTGACCCCTCCTGAAAATATGCCCAGTGTTTAATAAATAGTGCATTAGTAGCTTGTTTTGCATATAAGACGTTTGAAATACTTTTAGACCTGAAAGTAGAAAGGTCAAGAGGACTAGAGAAAGGTCTGGACTAAAATAGTTAATTGGGAATCATCCATACCTGAGACTGAATGCAGATATAGAAAATAGATTTAAGGATGGAGGCACCCAGAGGCATTCTGATATTTAGAGGTTAGGGAAATTAGAAAGAATTAGCAAGGGTGTTTAAAATGAAGCAGCTAGAGGTGCAGGAGGAAAACAAAGTCCTCACAGTATCCTTTAAACTTTGAAATAGGCAAAGTGTTTCCTGGGAAATAATGACCAACAATGTCCATTTCTGTTGTTAGCCAAATAGAGACAGAATTGACCATTGCTTTTAGTAACATCAATAGAAATCATTAGTGACTTTGATAAAAACAGTTTTATTGGGGTGGTGCAGATGATAGCCTCCTTGAAATGAATTCAGAAGAAAATGGAAGGAAGTGTAGACATATCTGCCATGGGGTTTTACTCTCACAGAAAGAACAGAATGGGTTAGCAATTGGAAAGGGAAGTGGGATTGAAAGGATTATTTTCTCTCAAATTTGGGAAATGTAGGTGAATGCGAATGACTCAGAAAATTTTGTGATGGTGGAAAAATAACGGAGGGTTACTAGAATAGTATCTTTCAATAGATGAAAAGGGATAGGTCTGGTAATTACATACAACTTGGCCCTCATTAAGAACATGCTTGTGGCCTTTGGCATAGCTTTGAAATTAGACTCTAGTTATAAGCAGAATTCCAAATGAATGACAATATGTCTGTGACATCAGGCACAGTATTTAAAGCCTTATTGGAATCTTTCGTTCTCTCTTTAAAATTTGGTCTACAAAAAGGAAATATTGAAGGTACAGTTTAACAGTGACATTGTTGTTGTTTACCATTGAGTTGGAATGGACCCATAGCTGACCCTCCAGTGAATTTTTAGAGGCAGTTAATCGAATGGGAGGAGATTGCCCATATTTCTCCCACAGAGTACCTGGTGGATTTGAACCATATACCTTCAGGATTGCAGTGCAGCTTCTTACCACTAGGCCATCAAAGCTCCAGTAGTGACTTTAGAGGTGAAGAAAAATACTAGTAGTATAGATATTCTCTTCTGTAGTAAGACAGGTGTGAGTGATTGAGGTGTGGAGGCTAGGGAGTGGTATAAATTAACCTTTGGTGAAACCGTTTTTGTAATACAGTAAAAAATTTTATAATATAGCTTCAGTGAAGTTAATTTAGGCCTATAATGACTCATAATAGAAATGAGTTAAACTTTTTTTTTTAATTGAATTTGAACCCTTAAAATGCTCATTTGACAGATGGGTATCTAATTTTCTCTTTTTAGCGGAAGTTCGTTTAGGTATGGGCCATTGCTTTGTGAAGCTTAACAAACTGGAGAAAGCGCGCCTGGCATTTAGCAGAGCTCTGGAACTCAATTCTAAATGTGTGGGCGCGTTGGTTGGACTGGCTGTTCTGGAACTCAACAATAAAGAGGTATGTGAATGAAAAATATTACCTGGTTCTTCATTGATATATAAGCCTTTAACTAAATTCTGGGGGCTGTTTCTTAAGAAGTCAAGATTTCAGATTATAGGAACATTATATAGTACCATATAAAAATATGTTTGTAGTTTCAGAAATATGTGCCCATGCTTCTCCTGTGGGTACAGTTAGGGAGTTTTAATTACCTGCCTTTTGGGTTGGCAGTGTAGCTCCTTATTCTCTCAGCCATCAGCCCTTCCTAATAACTGGTTTTCTGTGTAAATGCTCACTTCTGTTACAATAAAATAATAATAAAAAAGCAAGTATTTATCTAAAAAGTGACCTCAAAGGATAATTTCGGTTCAGGGGTTCTGGTAATGTATGTGTTAAGTGTTTGCTAACTGAAAGGTACACAATTTTAATCCACAAGTTGCTCCAAGCAAGAGAGGTGAGTAGTCTCTTCACATAAATTTATAGCCTTAGACACCTGACGATGGTAGGTCACTGAAAATCTGAATCAGCTTTCTAGAACTAGATTTGGTGTTTGGTATTTTGGGTTTTTTTTTGTTTTGTTGTTTATTGTTGTTGCTGTTTTTACGTGTGTGTGTGTGTGTTTGTGTACACTGTCAAATCAGATCTGACTGGTACAGTAGGAGATTGTCCCTCCTTCTCCAGCAGAGGATCTGGTGGATTCGAACCACACACCTCAGGGATTACAGTGCAACCTCTTGCCAATAGGCCACCAGAGCTTGCCTTGGGTTTTTTTTAATGCATATTACATCACACCCCAGTGAAGTTAGTATTCCAAAATCAGACTAATTATTTGTGGCAAAATGAGTGAAAGTCCACATTAATTAGGATAACATCACAATTCAAGTACCATTTTGTCATCCAATTTGCTCTAAGATTATAATACAGCCTTTAGAACTTTTGAGGTTTCAGAATTTCAGATAAAGAATTAGAGAGTCCTGAATATCCCACAGTCTGCCAAAAGAACAAACTACTATTTCTTGGAAAGAGTGCAACCAGGGTGCTCCTTGGAGGCAAGGATGGTGAAACTTTGGGCATGTTGTTAAGAGGGCCCAGTCCTTGGAGAAGGATATTATGCTTGGAAAGGTGGAGAGTCAGAGAAATGAAAGGAAGACCATCAACAAGATGGATTGACACAGTGTCTGTAACAAGGGGCTCAAGTATATCACAGGATAGGGTAAGGTTCCCATCTGTTGTTCATAAGGTCACTATGAGTCATTGCACAGCTGGACAGCACCTAACAAAAGTGCTCTGATGGCACAGTGGGTAAGCATTTGACTTTGACTGTTAACTGAAAGATTAATGGTTCAAGCCCACCACCTGCTCCATCAGAAAAAGATGTGACGGTCTATTTCCATTAAGGTTATGGCCTTAGGAACCCTATGGAACAGTTCATTCTGTTCTGTAGGATTGCTGTGAGATGGCAGTGGGTTGTATCATGTTGGAATGCTTTTAATTGCACATAATAAAAAATAAATGATAGTGGCTTAAGCCATAAGAATTTTTTTTACTAAATTAGGCATCTCCAGTGTCAAGTTTCACACTTAATTGTTTTTAAAAAGAGTTTATATCTTTCTGTTCTCTGTTCCTTGATTTGTGACCTTTCTTCCTCATATTGTCGTATAAGAGCTAGAAGATGGCTGCTGTGTCTGTAGGCAGCTCATTTTTATATCAGAACAGAGAAAGGGGACAGGATAATATGCTTTCTCATCAAGAAAGTCAATCTGATACTGAAAAGGAAGTTTCCCATTATCCTGCTGGTTTTTAGCTTATCCAAGGTTTCTTAGCTTAAGCATTATTAAAATTTTGGCCCAGCAACTCTCTATCCTATATTCTATAGGATGTGTTTGGTCCCTGGCCTTTACCACTAGGTACCAGTAATAACCAAAAATGGCATTACCCAGTGTCCCCTAGGGGATCAATAATACTACCAGGTGAAAACCATTGCCTTAAAAGGGACTACAATTATCTTGACAGGTGTAGATTAGTTACAGCATGTAACACCATTGGATATGAGGAAGGATTTTTAATCGTGTCTTTATGCAAAAGATCGCCACTCACGGCCATCAAGTAAAAACTGCCTCATAGCTGTCCCTCCAGCAGGTTTTCTGAGGCTGCAGATCTTACCAGAGGAGATTGCCCATCTTTCTCCCATGGGGCAACTAGTGGATTCGAACACCCCCACCTTTGGGTTGGCAGTGTAGCTCCCTGACCATTATGCCCCCAGAGCTCCCAAAAGATCAGCACTGACTACAATATCTGGGTTCTCATAACGAAGTAATAGTGACAGAATGGCTCCAGAGTAGTCCACAAAATTCGAAGGATTAAAAAAGTTCAAAAACCTGATTTGGGTGGTGATTGCACAACTCTGTGAATACCCTAAAATACAATGAATTGTACACTTGAAATGAGTAAATGGTATGTGAATTATGTTTCAGTAAAGGGGTAAAAGTACAGTCTGTTGGAGTATTTAATTTTTGTTTAGTTTTTTTTTTATGTCCCTTTTTATAAAATTGTTATTTTGTGTGTGTGTACCATCAAATCAGATCTGACTGGTACAGGAGGAGATTGGTCCTCCTCCAGCCGACCATCTGGTGGATTCAAACTGCGTGCCTCTGGGATTGCAGTGCAGCTTCTTGCCACTAGGCCACCAGAGTGCCCTTATTTGAGTATTTTCTATTATCTGTCTTATGACTCAACAGAAGATTATCTTAAGAACATGCTGCCACCACTCATCTGCCAGTTTGCCATACTGTAATGGCTTGTATGCTGCTGTAATGCTAGAAGATAAGCCATCAGCACTTCACTTACTAGCAGGGTCACCCCATCGTAGATAAGATTTCTTCAGAGTTTTGAGACTAAGAAGCAGAATTTGCCATTCACTTCTGAAATATCAGGCCCTCTAATGTACTGTGAAAAATAGCGGAAATTGTTGGGTGTGATGCCACAAGATTCAGAGTATATTGTTTCAATCACTTGCTGTTTATCTGAGAGCTAAATAAGGATGTGAATAAGGATGTGGTGTTGGAGAAAAGTACTGAATATTCCATAGACTACCAAAAGAGCAAACATATGTTTTGGAGAAAGTACAGCCAGAGTGCTCCTTGGAGGCAAAGATGACAAAGCTTTGTCACACATACTTTTGGCATCTGGTTTGGAGAGGCTGTTCCTTGAAGAGATACATCATGCTTGGAAAGAAAGAGGGTCTTCAGAATAGACTAAGACTCTCAACCAGATGGACTGACACAGTTACTCTGCAATGGACTCAAGCATGTCTAAAATACTGAAGATAGGACAAGGTTCAGATCTGTTGTACACAAGGTCACCATGAATCATACTTGACTCGATAACACCTAACAACAGTTCTGGAAAACGAGCCCCTGAGGCTGGAGGCACTAAAAATGTAAGTAGGAAAGAGCTGCCTCTTCAGAGTAGTTTTTGTTATGTGCTGTCAAGTTGGAACTGCAGCATAGCTGACCCACCAGAGGGTTTGCAATTTTTTTTCTGACATTCTTATTCATTGTCCAGCTCTCAGGTGCATAGCAAGTGGTCTGACTCAGGTGCACCTTAGTTCTCAAACTAACATCATTGCTCCTCCATCATTTGGAGATATCCCTGACGGTATTCTTTCCCACTGCAGTATGTCTCCTGACCAAGTATATTGATTGTGGATCCAGGTAAAATGAAGTCATTGAAGTTTCAATCTTTTTCTATCATGATATCGTTGAGATGCAAACTATATTGAAGGCTGAGGTCTTTGATTTTCTGCAGCAAGCACTCCAGGGCCTTATCACTTTCAGCAAACAAGGTTATGTCATCTGCATAACATAGATTATTGATGAATCTTCCTCCAGTCCTGAGGTTGTACTCTTCTTCATAGACTCCAGCTTCTCAAATACCTCAGCGTATAGATTAAATAAGTATGAAAAGAGGATTCAACTCTGACGCACACCTTTCTTAATTTTAAACCATGCAATGTACCTTGCTCTATTTGCACAACAGCCTCTTGATCTATGTAAAGATTTCACACTAGCACGAGAAGTGAAATTCTCATTCTTCTCAGTGTTAGCCATAATTTGTTATGGTCCACACAAATACCTTTGCATAGTCAATAATGCACAGACATTTTTCTGGATTTTTGTTTCCACCCATATCCATTTCACATCAGCAGTGATATCCCTGATGCCATAACCTCTTCTAAATCTAGCCTGAACATCTGGCAGTTCTCTTGTGCTCTTCTAATCCTCAATAACATTTTGCATACATGATAGTTCACATTAATGATATTGTTCTATAATTTCCACGTTCTGTTAAATCATCTTTCTTGGGAAATTTTGCAGTTCAGAATTGACCAAGCATGCAATCAAGATGTGTTGATGATTGAAAAGTAAAAGTTGGAAGCAATGAAAAAGGAAGAGTAGTTGGGAAATGCAGACTGGGTGACCA